CCAGGACATCAAAAAAGATTACTTAACACTCCGATCCTTAACTTAGCACACCATCTAACGTAGTGTCCTAACACAAAATCTAAGTGAGTGCAGGGTTATGTCAGAAGGTTGGTGTATGTTTTAACGGGGTCGTCGTCTTTGACCTCATCCGAAGGATCTAAGGATCCTAAGAGGTGCCACTGGATGCATGTTTTGTAAAAAACTTTTAAATGATTGGTTTCACGTACGGTCTAAGCTAAAGATGCAAGTAGTTTCAAAGTAAATTTTAAAAATATGATACACAAAAGTAGTAAAAAAAATATATTTTTATAACACTTTTGAAAGTAGGTCCTACGAAAGGAAAAACCTAAGTAGCACCTATTAGACCCCTTGAAACCTTAGCACAATATACGTGCGCTAATCACGACTTGATAGCTAGTATTGCCCAGTCAAGACATCCTTGTAGGCAATACTCGCTACCTCGTCGTGACCAGCGGAGGGTCACTCATCTAACGAGGTAGGTCCGTTGTTAGTTAAATTAGGAGTTCACCTGTAAATGAAAAATGATCCAAAGTAAGATGATCATCCTAACAAAGCAGAAACACTCGAAATATAGCAAAAATTCACCACTAGTAATTGGAGGCATATACCTATGATGAATGCGGCGACAATGTAGAGTGATGCATGCAAGACATACAACAAAAGTAAGGATGAGTCTGTCTGGGAGGTAGTGACTTGGGAGGGTGGGCGTGCCATGGATGTCTTGACTTGGAAGAGTGGGTGTGCCTTCGAAGCAGTGACCCAGAGGGTGGGTGTGTCATAGAAGCAATGACCTAGATGGTGGGTGTGTCGTGGAGGGTGGGTGTGACGTAGAGGCAATGAACTAGAAAAAAAGATCCACAACAGTCCAGAGCGGTGTCGTAGGGAGTGAAGAAATGTAATTCTCGTTTGAGAGGATTACACAAAGGATGGGCTTGGTGGCAAGCCATCCATTTACATGTAGTGTGAATGTGAGTAAGATAAGTGTGTGATGACACAAATTCAAGTGTAAAGACTTCAAGCTTGCAAGTCATGAACATGCATGACGCTATGCAAGCAAATATACGAAGGTGGGAAGTGTGAGTGCAAATCACATATGAGGAGGTGCAAAGTGACACAGTGGTGCCATAAAACGAATGTAGGGTAATGTGTTGTTGGGAGGCACAAGTACCTGTCATGAGCATATGAGGGCATATGCTCATGGTGCATGAGAGTGTGCATGTGTGGATGTGCTAATGTAGGTAATGTGAAAAGCACGCGATGAATGCAACATATTAAATGCAAATGATTGATTGATCGATTGGACAGAGGGTGGCCGATCGGGCCAGTTTGTGCGACCGAATGACAAATGATTGGTCAATTGATATGATCAGATTGGTGGCAGTCGATCGGTCGAAAATATTGTGAATAGTTGATCGGGTTGAAGTGTGTGACCGAACGCCGAAGGGTGTTCGACCAATACAATCAGTTCGGTGGTGGCATCAATTGATCATGTCGACCGAAATGGTGGATAGAGCTAGAGTGTGCAGATGATTGACCAAGGGTGGTCGACTAATACAATCGAGTCAATGGCGGTGTGGATCGATCATATCAACCAAAGATGGTCGATCGGGTCGGAGTGGGCGACCGGTTGATGGAAGATGGTCGATCAATACAATCGGTCCAACAGCGGCCAATTGATCGAGTGGATCAAAGATGGTTTGTCGGGCCAGCATGGGGCAATCTATCGATGGAGCATGCATAAACGTATGGTTTTTTATGCGTATTTTAAATTAATTACTTGCACACCATGAAGAAATAAACATATGCGACATTAAACCATATTAGATTCGACGACGAATCATGCTCGTCCTAGCAATCTAACAGGAAACCTAGAGTGAAACAATGGAGAGGTATCAACGTCATATTGTGCAAGGCAACATGACACCCACCCCCGTTTGCACGACGCTAGATGGGGAATCCCTCACATAGGGAATTCTTCATGACCGAAAAAAAAAAAATGATTCAAGGAATGCTCTCGTCTTTCTGCTCGGTGGATTTCAAACGTCCATCCGGACAAAGCCCTCAATTTCTATCTTTATTAAGTATTTACAAACAATTTCTTCATTATTGCTTTATTATTTTAATGCCTCTTAAATAATCATTTTTTACAAGCTTTTGTAGTATTAATGACCCGTATGTTTATAGAGTTTTGAAGCACGCTCTCTCTGGAAAAATAAAATCTAAATATTTGTCTTATCTCTTAAAACATGATGATAAATAATTAAATATGACCAAAAATATACAAAAATTATATAAAATTACATTTTTTATTGAAAATATCGAAAATGGAGGAACAAGTCTGTAAAATAAAAAAACCTGGTTTAATTTCGAATATTTAAAATTAAAATAATTTTCAATAAAAAAAACAAAAAGTTTATATAGCTTCCCCCTTCCAAAATCATCCATTTTTAACAAAGCTTTGACAAAAAAATCCCATTTTTAAAAAAGAGAATTTTACATCTATTCCATACAATTTTTATTTATATGGATGGGATATTGTCATAAGATATGTGTAATAATATTAGCTTTATAGAATCATAGTGGTTATTTAATAAATCAATTTAACACTAACTATACATATTTATTTAATGTATACACAAGTTCGTGTGAGGTAATACAGAAGCAAATGAGAGGATGTTCATGTTTGTCGTGGATCCTAAACATCTCGAAAGTGTACGAACAAGGGGCTTTCGAGCCACTATAACCCAAATTTAATCGTGTTAATATTATCGATTACTTATTGAGAAGTTGAGGGTTCTAAAATCGCTGCTAAAAGTCTTTACAACAGTTTAAAAACCATTGCAATGAAAATTGCAATAATGTATATAAAATGCTACAAAAAAAACCTTTTTTTAGTGGTTTTATTTACATATCTAACTTCTAAATTTCCATATTTATATTTATAACATTTTATTGCATAAATAATATATATATAATTAAATTCCTCATAAAAAATAAATAATAATAATATTTTTTATTTGATCTTAAAAGATCTAAGTTCTATGCATGTAACTACGATAATTTAGTTGTTAGATATACAAATAAATAATAATTCTTTGATGTATATATATAAATGCTCCTTTTAAAAAACTATATAAAAAATCACATCCTCCATTAAGTCTTCTTGGAAGATTTAAATAAACACCACTCAATTTCTATGCATTTACACATCTAACCACCAAAACTACAATTTTTACACATAACTCCTTACCTACGTATGAAATTACATATTTCAAAAGTCAAAATGGGGATATTTTCAATTTTTTCTTAAAAAAAAGGAGATATTTTTTATGATAAGGTTTGAGTGGTAAATGGCCCAATCTTCTAATTAATCCTAATCAATCTTATTAATTAAATCCTAATCAAACACCAAGAAATCCTAATGCAATGGAAAACCAATTCCCACTTCTTCTTCTCCTTCTCCTCTCATCTTCAACTCTCACCTCCCAATCTCCAAATGCAGCCCCTAACCCTTCCCCTGCCCCCATCAAGGCCGTCAATCTCGGCGGCTGGCTCGTTACCGAGGGCTGGATCACCCCCAACCTGTTCGACGAAATTCCCATCAACAATGATCTCTTGGTAAAACACCAATATTTAACCACTCACCCTATCCTTCTTGACTAAAGCTCACATTTTTACACCAATTTCAGGATGGAACTCAGATCCAGCTCAAGTCCATCACCAAGAACAGCTACCTCTCCACCAACAGTAGCGTTAGCCCAACCATCACTGCAAACCAGTCTTCTCCTTCGGAGCAGGAGACATTCAGAGTTCGCATCTTGCATTCTATCTTTCCAATCATATTTCATTCAGATTGTATATGTACTGAAAAAAAGAAATACTCTACTAATCTTCAGCTATGGCGGATCACTGAAACAATGTTCCAGTTCAGGGTTTTCAACTGGAGATTCTTTGAGCTTGATGAAGATGAGAATTTAGTAGCGATTTCGGCCTCGTCTAACGACTCGGATTCTTCGCATACTTTTGAGGTGGTGAGGAACAATGACGATCGCAATAGAATACGCATCAAAGCGCCTAATGGCTCTTTCTTAGAGGTGTACAGTTGAGACTTGTTCTTATAGGAATTATGCGTTTTTCCATTCTTAAGTTCTCTATGTCCTGCAGGTGAAGCCTGATGGGTTGGTGAAGGCAGATTGTTCAGAGAGAACTGATTGGGGAGATGAAGATCCTTCGATATTTCTGCTGACTAATGTGAAGCAGCTACAAGGAGAGTTTCAGGTCACTAATGGCTATGGAACTGAGCATGCGCCGGCGGCGATGATGGTGAGATAATATTGAATTCTCCGATAATGGTAAAGGTTTGATGGTTTAATAATAGAGATCGTTTGGCTTACAGAAGCATTGGAAGAACTTCATAGTGAAAGATGACTTTAAGTTCATGTCGGAGAATGGATTGAATGCGGTGAGGGTTCCGGTGGGGTGGTGGATAAGATTCGATCAGAGCCCGCCTCACCCCTTTGTTGGGGGATCACTGCAGGCATTGGACAATGCCTTCTCCTGGGCAGAGTGAGCATACAAACATACTACTTAACACCTATCTATTTACATATCTAACACTTAAATTTCAATTTTTACATACACACCACCTTTCAAATTTTGGATCAAATTTTTTTGAGCCAATTTTGATCCATGCATGGATCATGTGCGTGTGTTTGTGTGTGTGTGATGCTAAGTAAGATTGAATATTACGAGCTGATTTCAAACAACAATGGATCCAAATAACTCAATTTGTGCTAGTTAGTTACAAATTTGAGCCGGATAGAGTTGATTCCGAGCTAAAATGGATCCAAATAATAAATTTCAGCCAGCCCATTTCAATTTCGAGCCTGATCGAGCCATGAGCCGATTTTAAGCCGCACAATCTATTACAGCCGATTGCAAACCGACCCCAGCTCGGCTTGAAATCAAATCGTTAACAACCCTAGTGAAAAGTGTCAAAATGTCAGAGTTTATAGAAACGTCAATCTAGTCCCCATGCCCTTAGTATGGGTTGAAAAAATCCACCTAGAGAATTATTTTAGCTCCCATTAAAAGAATTTGGATACGAATTGAACAATTATTTGTCCCCATAAATATAAAAAGCCAGATACTATTACGGCACTTTACCCCTTTTACATAAATCTATTTTCATAATTTTGTCCAAGTCATCAAAATCTGAATTTATGTTGCAGGGAATACAACATTAAGGTAATCATAAATCTTCAAGCCGCACCCGGATCACAGAACGTCTGGGATCACAGCGGAACGAGAGATGGATTACAATCATGGGGTAAGACCAACGATACCATCGACGAAACGATCGCAGTGATCGACTTCCTCATGTCGAGGTAGCATCATTCAAATCCTATATCTTCATGCATTAGGTTCCCACAAACTAACATATCACTCAATCATTCTTAGGTATGCCAATAGAACAGGACTTTATGCAATGGAGCTATTGAATGAACCATTGGCTCCCGGAGTCACACTTGACAGCTTGATGAAATACTACAAGGCTGGTTATGACACTGAGGAAATACTCCGAGGTGTTTGTGATAATGTCGAACCGATTGTCTATTAGAAATCCAACAGAGCTCATGAAATTTGCGAGCGGATTTTCTGGATCAGTTATTGACGTCCATTACTACAACGTCTTCTCAAAACCTTTTGAGAAGATGTCGGTGGAGCAAAACATCAACTTTGTGAAGAAATACCGAGCTTCGGCCATTGATTACTTAACGGTTCCTAATGGCCCTCTTATCTTTGTTGGTATGCATCATAACTATTTCTATTTGACGCATTTACATATCAAATTAACACCCATACATTCATATTTACACACATAACTGAAATTTTTAATATTACATCAAAAATATTATCATCACTAACTTTTTAAAAGTTAGATGCATCTTTTCATTCATATGCTTGTAACACTAATGTGCTGTAAGTGTAAATATCAAACTTTGGGGGTTAGAAATATAAATACATAAGAATTGTGTGGCGTGTATGTGAATTATGCTTATTTTATTGGTTGAGTATTTCGATCATGATTCAATGATGCAGGGGAATGGACAAATGAAATGGATGTGAGTGATGCATCCAAAGATGATTATCAGAGATTCGGGGCGGCACAGCTTGAAGTGTATGGTAAGGCGACGTTTGGGTGGGCATATTGGACTCTGAAGAATGTTCAAAACCACTGGAGCTTGGAATGGATGATACAAAATGGATACATAAGTCTATAAAATATTTATGCGCATTTACATACATCCCACACAATTCTTACGTATTTACATAAACAACACCTAACATCATATTTACATGCATCCCACTCAAATCTTTCATATCGAATCAAACTATTACCATCGTTATCTTTTTAAAACTGAAATACATTTTTTTTCATGCATAGTTTTATGACACCAAGGTGTTATAAATGTAAAAATATCAAATTTTGGGTGTTAAATATGTAAATCCATAAGATTTGTGTGGCATGTCTCCTACTCTTCTCAATTATATTCTTGGATTCAATCATCCAAACATAGCTCTATCATAATTTATGTGAAACAAAAATGTTAATAAATGCATATTCATAAGATTCACAAGACACTAATTTCTCCCTTGGTTTCTACTACAAAACAACCAAATCAAATGAATATTGCTTGCAAACACAAAAACCTCATAGATCACCATACTACATTGTCAATATAAGCACAGACTCAAAAGCCACAGCAAGCAACAGATTAAATAACTCAAAGGGTAAGGAAAGAACTTACTGAAAGCAGTAGAACAGAAAGAAATAGAACATTGAGTGGAACTGGGAGGAAGATGGCAGCAGCTGAGGATGGCTGAGATGGTGAAGACACCGGGGATAAGCCTTGGCCAGTAGCCGACTGAGAGCTTTCCGGTGATGTTCCAGGTGCGTGAACTGCAAAAGAACAAAAAAGAAAAGAAAAGAAAGGTTAGCTGAATGCATGACATTTGCTTTTCATTGCAAGGGTTCATCTGTGCAAGCTAAGTAAATGAACAGATATTATAGAAAAGAAAATTTTAACTAGGGTGATTTATATGCATGCCATACAATTTTTACATAATGGTATATCTAATATCTAAACTTTAATGCTTACTAATATAACACTTAAATCTTAAACTTGACATCAAAAATAGCAATTGAATTATTTTTTCTAAAATGGAACACATATATTCAGGCATATATTTGGATATTTTTTCTAAGGTGGAACAGATATATTCCTGCATATATTTGGATGTGATAATGCGCCGAAGTGTTAAATAAATAAATATCAAACATTAGGCAATATTTTTAAAAGCGTGCTTCACATGCAATGAGAAATGAAACGCTTGATGCCCGCTGCTCTTCGTTGAAGCGCGCTTCAAAACGTTGAAGTCGGTTGTCCCATTCATAATTTAACGAGGGTAAATAAAGGCTTTGGTCGGGTGTTTCGAGGAGTGCAAGGAGTGGACAATCGTGTTCGAGAGTACAAGGAGCACAAGGGAGCCGAGCATTGCATCCGACTCAAGCCTAGATTTAGAAGAGTGCTTCAAATCCTATGATTTTCCTTTGACTTTGGTCTATATACTTCAATTTAGTCGATCTTGCCTCTGCATTCCTATGTATTTACATATGTAACACCTAAATGTTAGATATGTAAATATATAGGAATTGGGTGGTATGTAAGTAAATATCCTTTTTTTTAGGTAATGAGGGTGACTCAAATAAGACTAGGTTTTAGAGCAAATTTTAATTAATATCAAAATGTTTTACTTCAAATTTTTAATTTAAAAAAAATAAACATTTTGTCTCAATGTTTGCCTTCAAGTTAGGAATTGTACATATTAAACTATTAATGTATAACATACTAGTTTTTATACATATTAAACTATTAATGTATTTTCTCAGTAAAAAATATAAGTATAACAAATGAATGTATTATACATTAACAGTTTAATATTGAGTTAATCTATCTCATGTTCTACTTATGCTTTATAATATGTTATACAATGCCTAACAAGTTGGGTATTGTACCACATTCTTTTCTATTTATATCAATATTTATGTTATACTTTTGTTCTAAAATTGAAAAAGAATAAATTAATAATTTAATATTTGGTTAATCTCTCTTGTGAATGTATTTATACATTAATAATTTTATGTAACATATTAGCGCTTTAGTTAATAGAAGGGCCGTTTCACAATGCGCTTTGAAGCAAAAATAAAACCTTATGCATCGCATTGCATTGATGACGCTAATATTAGGTATTAGACATGTAAATACATAAAAATTGTATTGTGCGCATGCAAATGCTCCTAAAAATTTATTGTGGGAATTATAAATTTTTCTTTTAAAAAAGATTAATAATAATTTCTTACGGCTATTATAATCTAACAGATTTGATTGTAAGAACTACTCACTAAAGATGTATAAAGAATGCTAAAAAGTTCATACATAAACAGTAAGTATGGAACCAGCATCCAAAGCAAAACAGTGAAAAAATTGCACCAACAAAATAATCAACCATACAACAAATAGGCAGCTGAAATCTAATTCTATGTGCAGTTTGAGATTAGGCAAGTATTTTATTTCAGCACATTTATATTGATAAACTAAGCTAAAATTTTTTACATTCATAATGAGCTGCTTCATTTCAAGCTTTGTTATCCTCACAAAATTTTTTACATTCATAATGACAAAATTTTCTTTGTGACTATTAATATGTATTTCAAATTCAGGACATTAATAACATTTTTTAAGATTTGTCATTTTTTAAATATTTAATGATAAATTATGAAATATTTGATTTGAACACAAAACTCAAAGAAACAATTGACCTTAAAAAGTTCAAACAGAATCTGAAATCAGAAAAAAAAAGGCCCCAATCATTGGTATAACCGAAGGGAAATGTAACATCAAAAAAAAGTGGAGTAGAAGAAGAAAAGAGACGCTTACAAACTATTGGCCATATCCCCACTACAGGTGGTTCCCCCATAGCAATAATATCAGAATTCTAACTGAAGGATTAAACATTATGCTTATTCACCACCTTTAGAAGCTTCAGCACTTTCTATACACGGTGCTGCCCCTTTAATATGTTTTCTAGATTATTAAATACACTGCAGTGTGTATCTACTGCTGAAAGGCTCTCAGGTATTTCCCTATATCTTCTCCACTGCACTTCTAAAAGTATCAGAGCCATTGCAGTAAGGCTGCAGTTTCCTGTTCCCTTCACTCTTCATTCATCCGCTAGCATCAAGCAGCTTCTCGATTTATTGTAGCAGCCGTTCTTCTGGTTCCTTCTTCTTCAAGGCTGCAGCAGTAAAGCAAACCTACAGATTTTGGGGTTTTTTTTTTTCTTAGTCTCTTCTGTGCAGACAGTTCTTGCACTTCAGTAAACCAGATACATGGAGGAATCAACATTTTAAGGAACCCAAACGCCTCTAATTTCAACCCAATTCATTAATATTACTCCATCCCTAAAATTTCTTACCTCACTACTGAAACAATTCTCCCAAAATCCTCTTACCCCTGACAACTATCATGTATGGCATGCCCAAGTCCTGAAAATATTTACTGCAAATGGCTTAGTGGGATTCCTTGACGGAAGCAATAAGTGCCCCCAAACAGTTTGATACGGAGGGAATTGAAAATTCACAATTTCATGAATGGACTCTTACTGATCAAAACCTTGCAGGCCCCGTATACGCAACAGTCTCCTCGACTGTCCTCCCACACATCATCAATCTTCATTCTACTCTTCAAAATTTGGGTGGCTTTCGAATATCGTCTCCAACCCACTAAACGATCAAGGGTGATCCAACTAAAGAATGAACTACACCATATAGCTATGAAGGATAAGACTATGGCATAGTACCTAACAGAAATTTGAACACTAGTCGATCACATCAATGCGGCACGGTCCAAACTAGATCAAGAAGATGTCATACTATATATTCTCAATGGACTTCCTCCAACATACAATGCGTTTAAAACAGCTATTAGGACAAGGTTACAACCTATTTTCCTTGACAATCTTTACTCTCTTCTTTGTAGTGAAGAGATCAATATCAATACAGACAATGCAAGCAAAGTTCCCGAACTGAGATTCCCCTAGCTGTCAATTCTATCAAGGGACGCAACACATCATTCCAGAGAACAAAAGGGAGAAATCAGCAAACCAATTCAAGGAAAGAAAGAGGATATTAAAACACTTACCGTGGAGAGAGAACATCCAATTGATCCAATGTCGCATGCCCAATACGTAACAAATCTGGACAGTCAGCTTCTATTTGTTGGCACCGAACCAACTTGGAGTAGGCACCTACAACTCAACCTCAGCCCAAAGCATTCAATGCTACCTCTAAGGACTGAATTTTGGATTCGAGGGCAACCAATCACTTCACCTCAGATTTGAATCAGCTTCAATCAGCTATATCGTACAACGGAATGGACCAGGTCATGGTGGGCAATGGCCAAGCTCTCCCAATTCAACATAAAGGTGATGGTCTTCTTCCTTTGAGGCTACGCCAAATTGTAAGCTAAAACTCACTCAAATTTATCATATACTCCTCTCATCTCTCATAATCTTTCATCCATTCAAAAGCTAACAAAAGACAATAATGTCATTGTCTCCTTTAATCCATCTGGCTTTGTCATTTATGATCCTCAAACACAACGGATCATCCTCAAGGGCCCAGCTCTAGGGGACTACTCTACTCCAATACCTACTTCTCTACCACAAACATTTACTACATCTCTTTCCAAATCGCGGCAAGCTTCATTGTGGCATCAATGCTTGGGACATCCACATTCAAATATCACAACGGCCATATCAAAACATCAATCTCATTTCATACCATCCAGCTCAATATTATGTCACACCTGCAATCTTACCAAAAGTCACAAACAACCTTTTGTATCTAAAGTAGAACATAAATATAAACTTCTTGAACTTCTTCATAGTAATGTATGGGTCCCTTCCCAATTGTCTCTTATCAGGGTTATAGAAATTATATTTCTTTCATTGATGGTTTCTCTCGATTTTGTTGGATTTTTCCAATGTATATCAAATTTGAACTAAATAACATCACAACATCTTTTATTAACTCTTTCCAAAATCAATTTGGCATTAGAATTAAAATTTTTTGAACGGATGTTGGAAAATAATACAACAACTTAAATACTTTTTCTCAATGCCAACGGTATACTTCGAACGGATGCTGGAAAATAATACAACTTAAATACTTTTTCTCAATGCCAACGGTATATTACATCAACATTCCTGCCCTTATACATCGAAACAAAATGGTGTCGTCGAACAAAAGCATCGACAAATCATTGAAACCACTAGAGCATTACTCCATCATGCTCAACTTCCTTAAAAATTTTGGATAGATGGTCTATTCACTACGGTTCATCTCATTAACAGAATGCCTACAAGAACCACTAAATATATATCTCCCTATGAAGATCTTCATAAATCACCACCATCCTATACTCATCTTTGGGTGTTTGGTTGTGCATGCTACTCATGGCAAAAACCCCAAACAAGACACAAATTTGAACCATAGTCCATTCAATGTATTTTTCTTGGCTACTCAGCTCATCATAAAGGCTATAAATGTCTTCACCCCGCCACCAATAAAATCATTGTCTCCCGCTATATTGTCTTTGATGAGAATACCTTTCCCTTTCACTCAGCACCCAAAACTTCACCTACTAATACCCGAATGCCTGATACTTTAAATATTCCACCATTACTAACGTCGACCACATACTCCCCCCCCACTTCATCTCAACAACCAATTCCAATCTATGTAGCAAACCTATCACCCTCCACAACTCAACATAATATTGACCAGTCCCCTACGTCCTCAACCCACACGCCACATGTCCCACCTCAATCCAATCCTGTTCCCCACCTTATGATCACCCGCTCAAAAATGGGGTCCCTCAAACCCATCCAAAAACTCACTCTTCTTCATCAAACTCACATACCACCTGATCCCACTTCCTACAAGCAAGCATCCAAATGTTTCCATTGGCAATAGGCTATGCAAGATGAATTTCATGCTCTCCGGCAACCAAAAACCTGGAGTCTAGTTTCTCCACCACCAAATACAACAATTCTTGGCTCGAGAAAAACTTACACCACTAAACTCGACTCAAAAGGCATGGTTACAGGGTATAAAGCCCGACTTGTGGCCCAAGGTCAAGAATATGGGATAAACTATCGTGAAACATTAAGTTCGGTGGCAAAAATACTTACCATTCAAATACTCTTTATCGTGGCCCTCAACTTACATCTCATGCGAATGCTGATTGGGCCAGTAATCACTCTGATCAAAAATTCACAACAGGTTCGTGCTCCTTCCTTGGTTATACTTTAATTTCATGGCGAGTGAAGAAACAATCCACTGTAGCTCGATCTTCAATAGAGACCAAATTCGTGTCTCGGCTACTGCGACCGTTGATATAATAATATGGCTCCGAAAACTTCTGGAGGAATTCAGTATTTCAATTACTCAACCAAACTCTCTATATTGTGACAATCTATCTGCTATTTCTCTGGCCAAGAATCCAATATTTCATACGAAAACTAAACATATTGAGATTGATCATCATTTTCCCTGTGATCACATCAACCTCAATCACATCCAATTGGAACATATTCCGTCAAAGATCCAACCAGCAGACATACTTACAAAAGCTCTTTCCAAATGACCAATTTGTGATCTTCGAACAAGGCTGACAGTTCTACCAACACCCATCAGCTTGCCGACGGTATTGGCCATATCCCCACTATCGGTGGTTCCCCCATAATAATAATATCAGAGTCCTAACTGAAGTATTACAAATTATGCTTATTCACCACCTCTAGAAGGTTCAACACTCCCTATATAAGGTTCTGCCCCTGTAATATGTTTTCTTGATGATTGAATACAATGCGACATCTACTGTTATAAGACTCTCAGGTATTTCCCAATATTTTCTCCTCTCCATTTCTTACAAACAGTTATGCTAACAAGAGGAAACATGAATGCTATTTTGACTTATTTGAGATTTTGTTTGTTCATATTACAAGATTTCTTGTTTATATGTTTGCTGAACAACATTATATGAAAAAAATAATGCTAGAAAAAAACATAATATCCAGTTTAAGGATGAAAGTTTCTTTAAAAAAAAAGAGTTTCTCACGACTAAGTAGGATGGAGCCACACAAAACATTACTTGACACATCCACATAAGGAAATTGAGTTTAGACTAAAAAAAGTCAGACATGGAAAAAATATTACAAGCTAAAACCATTGGATTGATAGGCAAAATTAGTAATAAGAGGGATTCTAAAAGAAGAGTGAAAAAGAACTCTAAAATAACATAAGTAGAGGTCATTCAATGCACTTTACAAGGAATATTTATTGTAGAACATGTGAAGTTGGTGTTGAGCTAAGAAGGATTACAACACATGCAATGTTACTAGCATTATAATAAATTTAGATATTGACGCCTAATTTCTCATTAATTCTCCACAATAATAACAATCGATTTTTCTCCAAATGCATTGTTGATATCTTAGTTTTATGCTTCTCTCTTATAGGCCAACAGTTTGGCCCATAAAGCATCGCAGGTCTCACGACCATCTTATTGAATTTCTTTTAAATTTAAGCGGTACTTTTCTATCACACAATAGGCCCTGAATTTCCTTTAAATTCAAGCGGTAGTTTTCTATCACACAATAGGCCCGATGCACTCCTCCACTTCAACCATCCAACTTGAATTCTACTAATAACATCCCCATCTACATCACCATCACTTTGAACAATAGACTCGAGATATCTAAAATCGAGATATCCTCGAGATATCTAAAACATTTCACTCCTTTTAATGATTTGATCACTCATTGTTAAAACTCTGCCACTAGATCCACTACTACTGAATTTACATTCCATGTATTCAATTTTAAATCTACCAAATGAATGCATTTAAACTCTAACATAGACCTCCATAATTTAAGAAAGCATTTAAACTCTAACATAGACCTCCATAATTTAAGTTTATCCTAAACTCTTTCTCAAATCTTATCCACAAGAAAGATATCATCCGCAAAAAGCATACACCTAAGTTTGCTTAAAAGATAAGTAGACAAATTATTCATAAAGCCTAATTGTTTCCATAGACAACAATCTAGATAGGTTTTTTATCATATTGCAAAAAAAATGTAAATATTCAAGCAGCTCAAAGGCACCCAATTAATGAAAATTTACCGTGTTGCTTATTGGAAATCTCTCATTAATTAATCTAAACGTCTACTACTCCTTGCAACCTTCATAGGGCAATTTTATATTGATTTATCCTTGCTATACTAATTCTTGCATCGAACCACGTAAATCTTTTGTATTTGATTTTTATTATGTGAATTTCTACAGTTTTGAATTGTTTTCACATAACAATTAATATCATAGCTTCGGGTTCATGATTGGAGTGTGGTTCGACATCGACAACAACAAATCTAGAGTGTTGCCGGCTTTTTTTTGCAGCATGCATCGATGGTTACGAAGTAAAATAGGTCCCGACGGGAAAGAAACGAGGTTCGGTGGCATGGATCCCTAGATCTAGAGAACCCAGCTTTGGAAAAGCAGAGGAGGAAATGAACTAGGATTTGCACTCGAGGGAATATTCCTTTATTCTTTTCCTCTTTTGAAAAGATACAGTAAGGAAAGCAACTTTAAAAAAAGAATCCGTGAAAAACTTATTAAGTGTTTCCAGGAAAGATTTTTTTCTTCTTCTTTTCAATTCTGATTTTTTGGAAAAAAAAAGACAACTTTTTTTTGGAATAAGAGGAAAACAAAAATCTGGAAAGGATTTTTTTTTTGGGCAAAGAAAAGAACTTCGAGAAAAGGAAAAATAAAGAAAGGAAAAAAAAGAGAGAATTGTTTTTATTTTCTGAAATTTATTTCTTTTTTCAGGTGATCCTTTTTTTTGTTTGTTTTTTTTTTCGTTTTTTTCCAAGGATTCTAGGAGAGTTTTTTTTTTTTTGGAAAAAAAATTTCAACAGTGGTAAACATGAATGATAGCATGATATTAAGTCCTTCATCGTCCACTATGAAGATAGAAAAATTGATTCATCAGGTGGTTATGCATCCCATCAAAATCAATGTGACGAAATATAACAGTAAAAAAACTTTTTCATGTGATGATGTGAGGTGATATATGAGTTGTGTTCTTTGAATTTAGAGGAAGTCCTAAATAGAGATGAATGTCTTGAATGAATGTCAAAGAGAGATTAGTTGAAGATGCTTGTCCCAGAAGATCAAATATGGGGGGATGATGGAGACTTCTGCAGGGAAATTGTGGAGAATGTTGGAGATTAAGTAGCTTACAAAGAGCGTAGAGAATCGTCTCCATATAAAGCCATGCAAAAAATATGTTTATAAGGGCAAAAATATATGATATAAAAAATATCTTAACATTTTTGGGGATCTCTAAACATTTTTGGGGATCTCACATGCCCCCCTCCTAAATACGATGCATCAGAACACCTGATGACAGAGTGCAACGTGGCAACCCGAGCTCGAACCGTGTATGTCAGTGGGCCCAAATTGTTACGTGACCCCTGTTATTGGACACATGAAGCAATAATTTCTCCCTAAATACGCCTTGATTAGGAGAACGCTTTTCTACAGTCATTTTTTCACCTGCATCAGGTGTCCAATGACAGAGTGCCACGTGGCAACCCAGGCCCGAACCGTGTATGTCAGTGGGCCCAAATTGCCACGTGGCCCCTGTTATTGGACACATAATGCAATAATTTCTCCCTAAATACGCCTTGATTAGGAGAACGCTTTTCTACAGTCATTTTTTCACCTAAGTTTCCTTAAAGATAATGTAAGTTTCAGGAGATTGAAGATCTAGAAAATTTATACTAAAACAAAATTCCTCTGTGCATAAACAAATTCAAATTTTTAGCCACGTTTCATCTGCCCTTCAAACTCAGATGCAACTAAGCAGAAAAAACAATCATGGATAAGATGAGCACGAGACAGTAAATAGATATCATACCAGGAGCTCCCAAAGGCGCACCACCCACAGCTACTGCAACAAAGAAAAAGATAAGAAAAACAGAGAAAAAGAGAGGGAGAAATCGGAAACAAGAAAAAAAAAAAAAAAAAAACAAAAGCAGATCACATGGGTAAACAAGTATCAGAACATCTCGAACAAAAATTCAATTCAAAAGAAAAGAAACACTCACACTTGCACTTGGGGGTCTTGACATTACAAGCAGAAGGCAAAGAGAGGGCTTTCGTCGCATTAAGGCTGATGCCAAATGAAGATCCGGAGCCGAACGCTTGGCAAAGGCAGGACGGCTTCTCCTTCACTACCTTCTTCAGAGGCGAGCAGCAGGAAGCATCCGGCTTCGCTAAGGTGCTTCCCGCCTGCACATAAGCCAGGCAGCCGGAAAGAGTAGCTCCGACATGCAATCCGCCGGGGGAGGTGATGACGAAGGTGACGGCGCCGCCGCAGAGCTCGCCGCCTCTCGCCTAGCAAACGAGAGGAGTATGAGCACGGCATGGGAGAATACAATGAGAGTTCGGAAAGACGCCATTGTTGGGCTGTGAGTAAGTTGAAGTTGTGGAGAAGATTAATGGAGGAGGGAGAGAGAGAGAAATGGAAAGGGCGGTTCTAATGGCTTAGGGTTTGGCGAGGGAGCACGAAGAACTTTTAGTGAGTGTGAGGAAAAGATGATGATGATGGGGGAGGGTGCAAGAATGAGAGTGCAAGGCTGGCGAAGAATGAAAGTGGCTTTCGGTGTGCTTAAAGAGGCATTTAAGAACGCACCACTCCTAATTTACCACTCTGTGATATTCGACTACGGGTACTTTTGGGGCAGCGGCCACACCGTTTATTTCGTACTTTTGAGTCCTGTTTTTATAAATGGAGTTCTAATTTTATTTTACAGGCGGACCGCGTGATCCGTGTTGTGCCTCCGAGCTTTTACGCGTCTGATCTTGCGAAACATTCCTGCATCGTCCCTAACCTCGCTCCATTCGATCGCTTCCTGCCCAAGCTGCGCCGATCTCCTTCTTCCGCCCTTCGATCACGTCTGCCCTAGCTGCACCGAGCTCCATCTTCCGCTCGAGATTGCTCGTCTGCCATAGCTGCTTCTCTCTACTCCCTCATTTGGCCGAATCCCTCTCTACCTGGCAAGCACCTCTCCATTTCTTGGGAATAAAGAACATTCCTGTAATCTTCCTCCTTTCAACATCCTCCTTTCAACATCCTCCTTTCTTCTTCTTCCCATTCTTTATTTTCAGAAATCTACGGCTACACAACAAAGTTATTCGTCTTGGTAACAAAGCTCCACTTCTCCAAAAAAATACTCTTCCTCCACATGCAAGATGTTAGAAAATTTCTCCAACCATCTTTTACCAGAACTCAATGGCAATCCCATCAAGTATGGAGGTATTTTGATCCCTCCCCAACTAAAATTCATCATGAATGGCATAAAGACAAAAATCAATTGTGTGCTACATATGTAAATTTCCCTTAATTTTTTAGTTTTTTCAAATTTTCTCCACCTAACTGCAAGTTGGAGCAATAATAGTGTATGTGCTCACTTTCTGCATATACAACGCTCTATTTTGTTAATATAACTTGTTTCATAATTTTTTTGACTTTAATTACTTATAGTTAACGTATTTGATTTTCTTGTTCTTCATATGATACCATTGAATACTTATTCTCACTAGCCTTAAGAATTATAGATGTGTAACTTTACTGTTAATAGGGTTGTAGATAGACTCCCTTGAGCGGGGAGTAAATCTTTTTTTTCTTTGAACTGTTATATAGTGTTTTTTAGATTTTAGTATATTGAATGTGTTCCATTATATTATTGTTGCGAACAATTCCACTATATGTGGCCAAAATGGTCATTTTCCATAAACAGTTGTAAATTAGCTGTTCTCAAATCGCAGAAACAAAACAACGCAACAATTTATTCAGTTCAGGGGAAAAATTGTCATTTATCCAGAAACAGCTGCAAATCAGTTGTTTTTCAAACGCACAAATTAAACAGCCAGCCAGCTTATTCGGATCAGCTGCTCATCAACAGATTATCAGGATCAGCTGCTTATCAGCAGAAGCTGGATAAGCTGCAGCTGCCCCAAACAGACCATACGTCCTGAGTCTAATAAATCAACTTCACAATGAGCTTACAGAAAAAAAAAAACTCATTTTCTTGCTTTAACATGGTAACACAGGAGAATATTCCTCTCGTGTTATTTCTTATTATTCAGGAGTTATTGTGGTAGTATTGATATGTTATTGTGTTATTATAATACCTCGAATATTCTCAAAACATAATAATACATGAATATTACCACAATAATATCTGAATAATGCGGAATAACACGGGTGAATACTCCCTTTTGCTAAAACATTTTTTTTTTCATTTTTGTTGTCATTTACACATACCACACAATTTTTATGTAGTTACACATATTTATTATCTAAGCATTCATATTTACATACATATCATTCAAAATTGTTAATATAGATAAAAATTAATATTATTATTATATTTTAAAAGTGAAATGTGTCTTTTTAAGCATAGATTTTTGAGACTTATGTATTTTAATAATAAATATTAAAATAAAGGTCTTAAATATGTAAATACATAAAAATTGAGTTGTATAAATGTAAAATTCTCAGTAAAGACAACTAGGGCTTTAAACGAGTCGAGTTTGAGAGAGCTCAGGTTGGGCTCGTGTTCGGCTCGTTCGAATTTGCTCGTGTTCGAAATTAGCTCTTATTCGAAACCAGCTTGTGAACAGTGCGTTCGTGTTCAGCTAGATTTAAATATTTGTGTTTGTATTAGGCTCGAAATTAGCTCGTTAAAATTAAACTGAAAAAATATATGTAAAGTATTAGATTCGAACCTAGACCAAATGTATGCAAAACAATGCACATAACCATATTACCACGAGAGCAATTATAATTTAAACTTAAATATAAATATATGTAATATAATATAATATAATATATGTAATATATTATTATATAAATAATTATACACATTTTTTTTTATTTCAAGTTAAAACGAGCCGAACACGAACAACTATTGATAATTCGAGCTTTAAGAACTTGTTCATTTTCGGCTCGTTTACTTAAAGAAAGAGCCGAACACGAGCTGTTCGCGAACAACGAGCTTTTTTGACAACCCTATTAGCAGCAGAAGCCACGTGTAATAGCGACATAATGCTTGAACAAATTTCAATAAATAAAGAAACGAATTCAAGCATTAAGTATGTGGAATTCTAACGTATCGATACATCAACGGGATAAATTATTGCATGTGGTGTCCGATCTTGACCGTAGATCACCGTCATGATGTATTTCAGTGAGTCTCACTTAATTTTTTTTTAAAAAAGAAAATTCGAAATACATCCCGACCGTAGATCATCGTGATCTACGGTCATGATCAGACACCACATGCATCTCTACATGCGGTGTCCGTATACAATAATTTTTCCATCAAGAAACAAATATTTTATTGTTGAAATTTCTAATTGCTTAGAAACTTCAACAAATCTATGTAATATTTCCAGTGACTTCATTAGATATTTAATAGATTCTCTAATTAGATGAATTATATCCCGAATCTCTTTCAAGCTAAACTGAATCATAATATTTAATATGCGTGCACAAAAGTTTACATGGAAAAAAATAACCTTGAAAATGTGTGATTCAAACATAGGGGTGTAAACGAGCCGAACATGCTTTGCTCGTGTTCGGCTCGTTTATATTTCGAGCTCAAAAAGCGTG